CGGAAATCATCTGTCAATCCTGGGGCGTGATCTGATGGGCACCCTAGGCCTCAAGTTAGTGCAAAGGAAGAAAGTGACGGGAATCACAGGGGAAGGGAGCAGCCAAGAAGAGGAGGAAAATGATTAATTGCAAACATATTTCTGTAAGTTATACCCAAATTTATTTACTAGAATAGGGAAGATCCGGAACGCGAAAGTAAGAGCTGAATTTTTCGAAAACTTGATGCCCATACAACAAAAGGGGCGCAGGGCGCCTATCAGTCTACAAGACATGGTAGATAAAGAAATTCATCGGTTGATAAACGAAGGTCATATCGTAAAATTACAAGAGTGCTTGGATAAGTATTTCGTCTCTCCTATAGTGATTACAGTAAAAAAAGACGGAAGTATCAAATTAGCACTGGAATCAAGAGAACTGAACAAGTAGGTACACAAGAATAAGTACCAAATGCCAAATATTGAGGAACTAGTAGACGGAATAAGTCAGATTATTGCTGAAAGAAAAGCGGGGAATGTATATTTTACAACGTTGGATTTCACATATGCGTACGGACAAGTTTCATTAGAACAAAAAACAAGCGAGCAATGCAATTTTTCACTAGTCGGCGGAAAGTCCACGGGAACTTATCGTTTTAAAAACGGATTTTACGCGCTTACGTCAATGACGGCGGAATTCCAAAAAGTCATTGATAATTTACTTAGGAATTCCCTCAAGCTAACGCGTCCATCGACGATATTTTAATTGCTTCAAAAGGAACTAAGATCGAGCAAATTGCGTTAGTGGAAAAGATATTGAAAAAGCTGAACGTTTTTAATGTCGCTTTAAAACTACGAAAATGTGAATTTGCGAAAACCGAGTGCAAGTGGCTCGGATATCGGATTGGGGAAGAAGGCATCGCGCCTCTAGCAAGAAAAACACAAGCGATAAAGGACCTGAAAACCCCAAAATCTCGAAAGCAGTTGAAGTCTTTAATGGGTTCAATGCACAGTTTACACAAATTTTTGCCCAAGCTCGCGGAAGTAAGCGCACCATTAAGACCATTACTAAGTCAGAATAACGATTTTGTCTGAACGACCGTTTGCGAAAATGCGTTTCAACAATTAAAGTCGCTCGTGGAAAGCATTGTCGAATTACGACATTTCGACATTCACCATGAAACTAGAATTATTTGTGATGCTAGCCACGATGACCTAGGGGCCATATTAGAACAGTATTGCGCCTCCGGTTGGCATCCGATTTCGTTTGCCTCCAGATATCTTAATCCGGCTGAGAAAAAGTACTCTACCAATGAATTAGAATTACTCGCGGTAGTGTGGGCCACGGAAAATTTTCGAAATTACATATATGGCCGGTATTTCACGGTTATATCGGATCACAAGGCAAAACTTACATTGTTAAATTCTTCACCGAAGGGAAATAAAACGTTTTTCAGCCAATTAACTCGATGGTACGATCGATTAGTGCCATAGACTTTAAAGTCAAACATAGACAGGGGTCAAAAATGGGAATGGCAGACTATTTGTCTCGGTTTTCGTCCGCAGAGGCACCCGAGACAAGTCACTATGATGAAAATTTTACAGTAGCGAAAATAAAAATGATCAACGCAGCATTGAAGCCTAAGGATCAAATGAAGCCTAGGGGTCAGAAATGAATAAAATTAGGCCAAAACCGGCGGTAGAGGGCGATCAGTCATGTTTCGACACAACGAAAACAGTTTCATCCAATAGGAATGAAAGAAAAGATGAAAATGCAAACATTCACCGTGAGCACAAACGCTCAATAGAGGTCGTGTTTACATGCAACCGGCGGTTAAACAATCAGCATCGAGATATTTGCAGACCGGCAAAAAAATGCAAATGCCGAAGAAAGAAAATCAGACGTTGTTCTCAATGTTGCAAGCTTTCAATTATGAGTAAAATGAGTAAAATGAGTAATGAAAACATGATAAATTCATCTGAAAAAACGATCCACCAACTTCCGCCATTGTTAACACATCGACCAACTCTGGAGATATCAACCTCAACGTTGTTCTTAATCGGTTAAATCAACCACCCAGTGTCAGTTCGGATTCAGATATTGAATTATAACCACCTGAAAAAGTTGCTAAAAAACAGACAAATTCTAAGAAGTTAAACACGATTATCTCGTTTCCCCACCAGTTATCCGGGTTATCCTACCCACTTGTACAGAATGACAAATAGATTTACTTTTAGTGCCATCAGACAAAAATCTTTAAAAAGATTGATCACCCGGAGGTCCTGAGTTTGAAATTGATAGAAGCAAATATAGAAAAAGATCCAGTTATGAAAACCATCAGGGATACAATCAGAGACAAAAACCCACGAGCCAAAGAGATCAAAACAAGACTGGGACAAAACTACGCTAAACACTACAATGACTTTGCCGTACGTGAAAATTGCCTGTGGATGGACGGCCGGTTGGCCACACCGAAGGATATGTCATCAGCAGTACTCAATCGCTTACGCTTTAACCATCATGGGCGTGACAAATGTTTGCAGCCGCAAAAGATGTGTGGATACCACTTATGCACAGGAACATTGCCGCTACAGCAAAATACTGCAAAAGCTGCTTAGAAGCAGGTAAAAATCTTAAACCAGATATTCCAAAAAATGTGACATGGGGGAAACTTATGTGCCTAAGGAACCGAATGATTTGGTCCAATTAGATTTCTGGGACCCGGTCAATTACGTAAGGGGTCGGAAAAAGTATGTACTTGTAGCAGTAGACACTTTTTCGCATTGGCCGTCGGCGTATGTCTGTTCAAGTAACAAGTCTAAGAATGTATTGAAGTTCCTAAGGAAGTACATAAATACTCATCGACAACCACGGAAATTGCATATGGATCAAGCCACTGGGTTTTTCTTGAATGAAATTCAAAATTTCTGTAACTACGAAGGTATTCAACTCATTAAATCTCCGGTTAAGGACCATCGCGCGACGGCAATGGTCGAACGAATAATTGGGTTGATAAAAAATTACGTGCTACCTTATCTCCAGGATTAAAAAAAACTATAAGATTGGAGTAATGATATCCCGTGCGCTCAGCGCGTTACGTTTTGTGCCACATTCTAAGACTAAGATAACGCCTTTTGAAGCCTATCATGGAAGAGAAGCGAATACGGCTCTGCGAAATTTAACGAAAAAACCAGCATTGAAAAATCTAAATTGGAACAATGTTGTTAACCAGAAGTTATCTTGTTTAGACAAGGCGGAGAATCTCCCGGATGTAGAGCTAACCCTAGATTGGGAGAAGAGGAGCGATTTGGTATACGCCCCGGAGAATAGGAAAACCCCAATCATTTTGGATGACAAGGAATTAGCCGAAACGGATCCCAAGGCTCAGGAAGTAGCTGATCCCAAGGAATTAAGACCTGTACCTAAAGCTCCAGCGTGGCTCAAAAGGCATAAGACCAGCTCAACAACAGTCTACCAAAGGACTGGAAAAACGGACCCGAAGGACCCAAGAAGGTATAAACGTTTACCATTGCAAATTGAAAAATTTACTAAGCATACGGTGCAGATGAAAAAAGGGTCGTTACTAAGGCGAAGTGGTGTTTCTTTTAGATCGGCGGCTGAAGAAAGCCTATCTGAGGATAGAAGTGATGCGTGCACCCCAGGTCCTAGTAAAAGCGTAAAAAGTACCCCGGGCCCAAGTGAACCCACAAAGTGTAAAAGAAAAGCCGAAAAGGATCGAGTTGAGATGGAAAACGCGCGGAAATCAATGAAACACCGTATAGTAGAATCCAGCACGGACGAGAGGGAGGACGACAAGGATAGCGAGTGGGAAATTGAAAGGAACGAACCGGCGAGGATTACGGCGAGCGGGGGAGAAAATGTACCGTCGGGAACGGACAGGGAGATATCACCGAGAACCGTCGGTGGAAAACGAAGAAAAGGCGAAGCAGCGACGAGAAAATCATTACGACAGAGACGCGGAGTTGATAAAATGGGGGGAGTTATGATCCATCGAATAGAGCACAAGTAACATGAAGACAAGAGAAAGAAACCTTAAAGAGAGGTTTGGCAGGTGTGCCTGAAAACTCAATTTAAACTAAAATTTAACTAGTAACATGAACCTATCGCAAAAGAAACAATGAGTTGATAAATTTTATATCTACGCTTTAAAATTTATTTGTGGTTGCCCGAAAGAGACAGGGACCAGTTTTGAGTTTATGTAAGTGCTATCAATTTGTTCGAGATAGGAACCAGTTTTGAGTTTATGTAAGAGCTATCAATTTGTTCCTTCTGCCTGGGGACCTGCTTTCGTGACCTTGCGATCTCTAATGTCCGATGTGATCTGAAATATGACAGTGCAGTAAGATTTCGATTTGATGCCTAACAGTTGCCTACAATTAAACTTAACAAACTAACCTTTTTACGACAGTATACATTTACGTACTTCAAAACTTTTGATGACGTGTTTCGAAAAACGACTCGGTTTGCGTAAAATAGCTTAATTTTTTCCGAGCTTTTTTGAAGCCCTTGAATGACCGTATATGCTGAAAATCAAGTTTTTCGATTTCTCGTTTTTTTTTGGATTCCCATCGGGTAATTTGAAATATATGGCACCAGAGTTAAGGAGGGGAAGGTGGTCGCTCCAGCTGCCGTTAATAATAGTTCCAGATTTTTGCTGCCTGTATCAACTCAAAAGGAGCCATTGAAAAATTGCAGTTCAGACTGGGCCATAAATGACTGATTCTTTTAGATTCAATTGTTTTGACGGTGAGCCTGCATTTAACACTGAAATTCCCCTCTAAGAAACCTGGTGCTCAAAGTTGGCTACCAAAAATCAGACTTTAAAAACAAAACACGCATTGTGGTTGCTCATAAGCGCTTCTTTGAAGCTGCTCAACGTTGTGAGTAAGTAAGCATCAGTTTCATTTGTATTGATTAATTGCATTCATGATTTACAATACCTGAGATAAATTCAACACGATTGAACAATGTTCAATTACTCTTTTACACAGTCTTGAAAAAAACTAGTCTCTCTATAATAATCATATATTACAATCAACTAAAAAACATATTCTTCAATTCGAACATTTCTGTCCAGTGATTTTTTTCAGTTTTATCGATGCTGTGAATTGATTGGAAGTCTCATACAACAAACATTTTTCCATTATTCTTGATTATATGCTTCACAACTTATTATGTTTTCCAATTTTTTTGCACAACTGATTAGTTAAATCTTCAATTCAGTTTTAAGACAGGCCAAGGGGTAGCAATTATGTCTGAAGAGACTGAGAGTTCGATAGATGTTTCTAAGAATCCTGAAAATTCGTTCGATTCTTCGGACAGATCTTTCGAGGTTATTACAGAGTCCACCGAACAAAAAAGTCCAGTGATCCAAAAAACTGAGTCTTTTATTTCTAACCATTGCGAAGATGAATACCTAAAACTAATTCCATCAGTGCTTAAGGAGGCAAAAAATGCTTCGAGTGAGGACGAAGAAAAAGAAAATTTCAATAAAAGTGTTCAGGAGGAATTAAAACTTGATGATCGAACTGATCGTTCAGAAGGTGAAAGAACAGAGGTAACGGATCAAAACACTCAAATCATAGATCAAACTCAAAACTTAGGAAACGAAATTTCGGAGCAAAACGTCTATATGACAACATGCGGCTCAAATGTCGACGATATTATACCCAATCCTGATAGAGAACTGAAAAAAATTGCCATGCAAAACATCTGTCAATTAGGCTCGAAAGACATTCATAACTCTTCTGTCGAACTTGGCGACGGACCAGTTGCAGATAAAAATCAAGTCGAAGCTGGTCATTTTAAAGAAGAGGAAGCAAAAAGGTCCAGTGAAAAGCACAAACCGAAAGCATCACAACGAAAAAATGAAGCAAATGGCGAACTTGACAATCATGAAGATGTAACTTTAATTCAGCAAAAAGAAAAACTTCCAGAAGCGCAAATCGACAATTTGTGTTCTGATTCTAAGCCCGAAAATGAAGTAAGCAGCGAAATGTGTACATCTTTAAAGCAAGACGCCACAAGTAAATCGATCACAGACCTCTCTTTGTTGAGCACAGATAACAAGCGATTGATCCAACGAAAACTGTCGGAAAGAACAGAACTCCAAATTAGATGCCAAACTCTGGAAGAACAGAACGAGAGTCTAGTGAATCAACTCGAAGAGCGAGAAAGATTCTTGGAAGATATTCTAGCAGATATTGACGAGTTCAAGGAAAAATCGAGGTTCGGAATGTCCGAACTAAGGATTGAAAATGTTAAGTTAAAAGAAGTAACCAAATCTCAATGGAACAAATTCTCAATAGAACGAGACTACTTGTTGAAGGAAATTGAGTTTTTGAAACAGCGAATAGAATATTTAAATGAAGATCTGAAGTTTTACACGGATAGATGTGACATAGACAATGATCAAAAAGATTCTCCTCGCCAAGAAAAAGACGACGAAACTAAACAAGCAAGTTTATCAGATCTCAAAAATGAAAATGAAAACCTGAAACTTGAAGTGGAGTCCAGTATTAATTTGATAACGGATTTGGAGAAAAATATCGAAAATAAAAACTTCGAAATTCAAAAAATACAAAAACAACTGGAACAGCTCAAAAAATCATCGCTAAACATAAAAATCAGCGAAACTCAGACCGCAAAATTCGATAAAAATTTTATAGACCAGGAAATTCAGACTTTATCTCAGCCCAAAGATGTTGATGAAGATATTTGTTTGGACCTATCAAAAAATTATGAACTGCAATCCGTTCCCGAAGTTTTTATTACATCAATTGAATGTTCCATTCAAACCGATCAAACCGACAGCAAAAAATTGTCAGCGTTCGGAGCTCAAACAGAGACTGAGTTTGTTGACAAAGTCATTTACGACTTACTACTTGCAGACTACACAAAAGCGAACGAAGACAACGAAAACTTGCAAAATATGGTTGTGGACAAAATTTGCGAAATAGACCAAAACAGTTGTTTGTTGGACGCTCTCAACTCACAGTTGTTTGAAATGACGTCACAAAATGAACTGATAAAAAGTGAAAGCTTGAAGACAATCGATGAAAAAGACGAACAAATCAAGAAAGTCGTGAACGATTTCAACGAGCAATCAGAAAACATGCAAAATGTGGCCGACAGATTGAAAAAACTCTCGGAAGACAATCATTCGAAAGACGAGGAGCTCAGAATTAAGATAGCTGAAATAGGAAGCATTGAAAATGAACTTCAGCAAAAATATGATGAAATTTCTCATTTAGAACAAGAAAAATTGAGTGCATCGAATGCATTAAGTAACGCCAATATAGAAATTGAAAAGTTAAAATTGACTCTTGAAGAAAAAACATCTCAATTTTCAGAATTGGAAAATAAACATCGAGAAAACCTGGTTTCAAAGGAAAAAGAGCATTCACAAAAAACTGAACAGCTGGGAGCTATTTTGACTACAATAAAAACCGAAAATGCGAAATTGAAAAACAGGATATCAGCATTGGAAACAGAAAGTGAAGTACTACTAGAATCAAAACAAAAATTGGATAACGATCTGAAAATAATCCATCTAAGTGCTGAAAAACAGAGATCAGAGTTAGAGAAATTACTAGAAACAGAAGAAGATTTGTCAAAATCTGTTCAGAAGTATCAAGAAAGTATCGAAAAGCTGCAGTGTGAACTACGTGAAAAAACTGAAAGTCACGAGGCTAAGTTAATTGAGGAAAAAACTAGATTTAACTCCATCTTGCAATTCAAACTGGAAGAAAAAGAAAACCAAATGCTAGAAGTAGTTCAGATGCTCTTAAGCTCTGAAGAGAGGTTAAAAGAAATTGAAGACAGCAAGCGTGGAAGTACTCTAACTTCGGAGGAAAAAACTGTGCAAACTAGTGATTTCAGACATTTGGTTGCTACTACTGGCATTCAGACAGAAATGGTTTGTGGCGAAGTAAACGAAACTCAAACATCTACCGTGAGTCATGGCGAAGAATCAAACAAACGTAAGTCTATATTGAGAGTAATTTTGCATGATGTTGATGTTTTTAACACTATCAAAGTAATACTTAAACCTATGTTTCTTGCTTAAAAAACTGTTTTGACATCGCATCAATCGGTGTGTAATGAAATCGACGAAATCTTAAGAAAAACTTGCATTTGGATTGGTAGGATTTCAGCAGCAGCATTGTATTTCAGGATTGAGAAAAAGCCAAAAAAAAAACAATTCACAAGAAAGGATACTTTAGTTTTCCAAAAACTAATCTCTGTTTTTTTTTATTGAGTTTCTTTTTCGTGTCAGAATTACCCTTTAACCATTATTTTTAGGCAAAAAAGTTCAGACAGAAACAATTGGGAAGTTTCATCGCTTTTCCACTGCCGCTTGCATGTGGACTAACTTCATTTTTGAAAAATGTTCTAGCAATGTCATAGTGTAATGAACTTCAAATGTCAACCAATTAACTATAATAAAAACATCAAAAACATTAACTATATAATGTTTTTCATCCTTAACAAAAACACCTTAACTAACCAGAATAGCGTTCATATCATTTCACATTGTTCGGTTATTGTAACAGTTGCAGTGCACATTCGTTAAGTTCTTTTAACATTTTTGGTTTGCGACCACGGCTAAAGCATAAAATTGCCGCTTATGCCGGATGAGGATCAAGAGCACGAATTGTATGAATTGGGGTCGAATAAAGTTTCCAAGCGGAAAAAAATAAAGTAAAATATGCAAAGTCAAGGATTTTAAAATTTCAAATTGCAGGAGCAAATCAAAATACAGAAAAAAATTTCAAAAAAATTTGCGTATAGTAAAAGAATGACAACTAAGCCGACAAAACATTTTTTGTGACATTTTTTTCAAGCGGAATAGTTCCTGTTCGGGCTATAAAAATAGGTCCTGGTCAGAATCAAACCAACGACTTTTGCTGTTCTGGGCGCAGTTTATAACCTCCAGACGAAATTTGCCAGAGTCGTTGAGAAAGTTTAATTAACTATGAACCAAGTGATTCAATTGAATCTGTTAACCAAGTTGTTAGCCCGAGAAAAAGTTCACAATCCGATTTTATAAAGCTTGCTAATCGCAAGCGCATTCAATGTATTGTGGTGAATTAAGATTTTTTGCTTAAAAAAACCGAAGGACAAGTGTGTTCAGAATAGTTAACCTGGAAGAAAGTTGTAGAGTTGGAATGGTAATTGAGCTTCTGTGCTCCTCATGCGGATTTGCTACGCATTGTCTGAAATGCTCTTTGACCAGGGGTTAGGAAACTAGACGATAAGCAAATTAGACGTGACCAACAAAAACGAAATTAGACGTTAAATTGTTTTTGCAAAACTAGCATTTTAGGTGGAAAGCAAAAGGCTAACAAAACTTATTGCTTAAAACAAGTTTTTATAATTACAAAAATAATAAATGATCCCATTGCACATCAAAAAATTTATCTCAATTGATTTATAAAATCTTAATTTTAAGATTATAAAACTTCTTTGAAATGCATAAGTTATACAATTGCGGCATGTGAAAAATGCGGAATGTGAAAGTTGCGGCATGTGAAAAGTTGATTTGCATTTAAGAAAGCTGAACGAAAGTTAATTGTAGGCGGCATACAAATTTCAGACACGAACAATACAATTACGTCTAATTTCCCATATTTGTAATTTTGCAACGACGCCTAAATTCGTTTTTGTTGGTCACGTCTAATTTGCTTTTGGTCCAATTTCCTAGGCCCCATTATTAAGTGGGATACTAAACAAGCAGTTTAAGTAGGGTCAAAGAGGGGCCTAGGAAATTAGACGAAAAACAAATTAGACAAGACCAACAAAAACGAATTTAGACGTCGTTGCAAAGTTACAAATATGGGAAAATAGACGTAATTGTTTTGTTCGTGTCTGAAATTTGTTTACCGCCTACAATTAACTTTCGTTCAGCTTTCTTAAATGCAAACCAACTTTTCACATGCCGCAATTTTCACCTTCCGCAATTTTCACATGCCTCAATTGTATAACTTATGCATTTCAAAGAAGTTTTATAATCTTGAAATTAACTTTTTATAAATCAATTGAGATAAATATTTTGATGTGCAATGGGATCATATATTATTTTTGTAATTATGAAAACTTGTTTTAAGCAATATGATTTGTTAGCCCTTTGCTTTCCGTCTAAAATGCTAGTTTTGCAAAAACAATTTAACGTCTAATTTTGTTTTTGTTGGTCACGTCTAATTTGCTTATCGTCTAGTTTCCTACCCCCCCCCCCCCCCCCCCCTTAGTAATACTTGAAAACTATGCTTATGAGGCTGACGGCGTATTTCGAATAATTATCCCGCACACAAAACTGTTTCAAACTCAAGTCAAAATTTCTCCTTTTACGAATCAAACTTTAACGCTTAAGATTTTACATTGAGAGCCCAGAAATATTAAGGTTATAAAACTTTTTCTTAAATAAAAATATTGGGGACCAACTTAAAGGACAGTAGGAAAATTTTTAGTTTTTCTTACCCTAATATATGATCAGTCTTGTTGTCCTTTGCTTCTGATTTAGCATATAAAATTTTGTGAGCTAACTGTCGAAAAATACAATCATGAGCACTACATGAACCATGCCAGAGAAACAACAACTATAAGTTTCATTTTGAAGCAGAGGACGAGAGCGAGAGAATATTCTTAATTTTTGTCGATGTATTTTAGGTCCATCATTCAGGGAAATTGATGTTCAAACAGAGATGAATCAAACAATCGATGACGAAATTGAGAAGCTAAGGACGAGTTATGGCAACCTGGAGGTCGAACTCAACATGGTCAAGGTATGATTCAACCATAAAATTTATAATCGCCTTAGATAAAAAGCTAAAAAAATTTTAAAATGCAAAAGAAAGATCATTCTTTGTTAAAAATTTTAACCAGTGGCGTGCGCAAGAAATTTTCGACGTGGTTAAAATTTTTGACGTACTTTTTATAATTCAGCAAATTAGAACTTGTTGTAGCGCCACTGAAACCCAAGGCTGACCACATTTGGCAAAAATTCTTTTGGATTTTTTCAATGGCAACATATAATGTTTTTGTGGGCAATAATATCTATTTATTCTTCAATGTCAAGCAATTAAAGATGGCGGGTTTTGAAAAAAAAATCGGATACTTCTGTGTAATATTGATGTTTCGAAAAAGTCAGAAGGAAAAGCTTTGTTAGATTTACTTAACGCTAGACTTTTTAAAAAATCTTTCAGGCGCAGTTTTCTCAAGAGAAGGAAGATCTCTCTCAAGTGCTTTTTGAATCGCAACAAGAGTGTGCGCGATTTCAGACCACCTTGGTGCAGATGAAAACACATTACGAGCAGACTGCCAGAAATGTCAATGAAACCAAAGAGGCTAATGATAAGGTAAGGCAAAGCCCAAAGTCTATTTTATGTGTTTTCTAGCCTCTTAGTAGATCTGGAGAGGTTTAGGATTTAGAACTTTTTTCCAAAAGAAGTTCTACTTTTAATGTAACTGAAACACTCCGGTGGCTTATGGACTGATTACCAAACAAATCTTCGAGAAAAATTTGTCATTATTTTCGAGAAAAATTTGTCGACAGGTTTTGTGAAATGACCATCATTTTTCGACAACTCAAACAAGTCTAGTTTGTACATTCTCGAACATTTCTATTTACCTTTACTTGTTCACTGAAAATTATTTTATTATTGTTTCTGCTAACCCCAAGTATGGGGGTTTTTTGATCTAGGGTTTTCCTCAGGCAAAATCAGACAACACAAGTGAACGTCAGATGAGTCGAGCGATATATCATATTGAAACTTTTCATTCATAGTTCCAAAAAGAACAATAAAAAATATCGTGATGTAGTTTTACAAATATGTTCAACAGGCAACTTGTCTTTCGAATAATTTTTCGACCAAAATTGGACCAAGAAAGTGTTTTCTCAAAAAATGAACTACAGAGAGTAGCGAGTGGCTGTGCAACTAAAACAACAGAATGTTTCTACAATGGTGATGATTTCAGAAAGAAACAAGACTGCTCGTATCAGGACGAAGCCCTTAATGTTCCGACTGCCTTTTAAGGTTTATGAAGCAGTAATAACACAAAAAAAATCAAATGTAAACAAACAAAATGAATTTTTTTTTCGAAAATTTGAATTTTTTTATAAAAAATCATCCCCCCACACGCCATATAAAGTACAAAATGATCGATTTCGCTCCTTGTAACAAATAAATTATGGCAAATAAGCTTCCTTCAACCAATTTGGAACGATTTCTAAGACGGATTAAATCTACGCTTACGCGTTAATAGCGCGAAATATATCGCGCATTAATTGTCCCAAATTGGCCAAAATGCCAACTTTGAAACCCCAATAACTTTACGAAAAACGATCACAGGTAAAATATCTTTTCACATTTAAGCTTAAGACAACAATACCTTTCGAATGATAAAAAAAAAATTCTGTCAAAACTGGCTAGTTAAAAAGTCGAAATTTGTCTGAAGAAAAAAAACACCCTGAGCACAAACATTCCGTTACTTTCGTATCGAAAGTCGGATTAATTAGAGAGATCTTGTTTCATTCTGAACGTTTTCTTAGCTGGGAAAAGTTAAAAAACTAACTAAAAATTAGAAAACATTAGTATGCGCGACTTCGGACTTTCATTTTTACATTCTGTATATAAATATTTTTTGAGCATTTTTTTTCACATTCCCATCCAACACAAAGAGCGCAAAATTTGCAAGACAAAAATAACAATTTTCTTTCGGACCACATCTCCCTTGTCAGAGCATTCTGTTTAGCTAACTACCTAGGCAATGGTGACTACCGTTTCTTAGCTGATTGTTCCGACTTTCGATACGAAAGTAACGGAATATTTGAGCTCGGGGTAGGTTTTTTTTCTTCAGACAAATTTCGACTTTTTAATTAGCCTTTTTTGACGGAACTTTTAATATCATTCGAAAGGTATTGTTGTCCTAAGCTCAAATTTGAAAAGATATTTTACCTTTGATCATTTTTCGTAAAGTTATGGGGGCTTAAAGATTGGCATTTTGGCCAATTTGGGACAATTAACGCGCGATATATTTCGCGCTATTAACGCGTAAGCGTAGATTTAATCCGTCTTAGAAATTGTTCCAAATTGGTTGAAGGAAGCTTATTTGCCATAATTTATTTGTTACAAGGAGCGAAATCGATCATTTTGTACTTTATATGGCGTGTGAGGGGATGATTTTTTATAAAAAATTTCAAATTTTCGAAAAAAAAATTCATTTTGTTTGTTTACATTTGATTTTTTTTGTGTTAGTACTGCTTCATAAACCTTAAAAGGCAGTCGAAACATTTAGGGCTTTGCCTTGATACGAGCAGCGTTGTTAGAATAATAGAAGCGTGGATTTAGTATTTGAGAGATTTTTAGTTTTACTTGATCATCAAAAAAGGAAGATATGGAAATGTGAAAATCAATCTGGAATGATTTCTCAGACCGACAAATCCAATATTTGCGCTAAGCGTTAATGGAAACAAGCATGATATACTTATTGCAAAACTTGTAAAACGCCCAAGTTTTCGCATTCTTAAAACTTGGAGATACTTAGCGCAAATATTGGGCGTTTTCTAATATTTGCGCTAAGCGTTAATGGAAACAAGCATGATATACTTATTGCAAAACTTGTAAAACGCCCAAGTTTTCGCATTCTTAAAACTTGGAGATATTTGATTATAGGTGAAACTTTCTTCTGAGTTTGGGACCACGTTTTTGATTAAATGCTTTGAAATAACTACTTTTTAAACACTTAGTAATTGGTTGCAAAATAGCTAAGCCTACCATCATTACTCGAGTAGACGCTCAACGTGACGTATGAATATTTTGTAAACAAATATGAAATATGTTGGAATATGTAACGTGAAACACGACGTTTCCAAGTGTCTCAAAACACATACAGGCCAGTTAAATCAATTTTATTGGTGCACCCGGTTCAATAGTAGCCTAATTTGCACCGGTAAAATTGATTTATTTGGTCTGTTTGAACTTTGGGACTTTTGAAAATGTCGAGTTTCAAAATACGTTGTCCAATTTTTTTTTTACCAAACATTCTTGCGGATCTTACAAACTCGAATAAACAATTTGCAAACAATACAATTAATCATTTTTTTACAATTTGCATTGCTTTAGTTCTACAAACATAGAATTGCACCAAAATCTAAGATGCAGACATTCTCAAGTACGTTGCAACTGAAGGCTCGAACAGTTTACTTTAATCGAGTTGATTCAGTGATTCTGTTAGTTACAAAAATTAATTAAATTGACTTTCAATTATAATAAAATTTGCTTAAATAATTTTAAATTTGTGGAAAAAACGCCATGCTGTGAAATCGGGAGACTAGAAACGAGTCAAATAATAACCCGACAGCTTTAATTATTCTAACAGGAAAGTCCAAATATACGGCTTCTAACCGAACTCGAGCCCTAGACCCGTGTTTGTCCATGTCCAAGCAGCAGATTTACCTCTACCCTTAGCGAGCTCAAGTAGAAGCATAAGCTTGATGCGCTTATGAAGTAAAATGATGCACTTTGTGAATGTTTCAACACAAAAAGACAACACCTGGATGCAATACACTCAATAACAGAAGGGTGAATCATTAATCAACATAAAATTTTGCGTTCGATATAGTTTCTATTTCATTTTTTACGTTTTCATCCCTTAAATCACTTGAGGGTTCAAAAGTTTTATTTACACGGCCAGACCACAAATAGAAAAGCTAAAAATGCTATGTTTTTGAGCACATGATCACTGTAAAGAACGCCTAGTTATTTGAAAACTCTTTAATAATTAACTTTTTGGATATCATTCCGACCATTTGAGAGATAGGGAGGAATTTTGTATCCGTTTTTGTTGAAAATGGGATGAACTTTTTACAAGGATGTTTTAGTTGTTTTCCACGCAAAATCAGGTGCCACAAACAATCATCGGGTTTGGTTGAGTGATATATCCTTTTAAAGCCCTTTCAGTGGTGACGCGGACCAAATTGAAAAATTCCAAAAAAAAAATTCTCAAGTTGAGAAAAACCGGTTTGAAAATTTTGATTTTTCGTCTTTTTATTCGTCTCTTTATTCGACCGAATAAAGCAAGCAAGCCGGCTTGAAGCAGCTGCATTATGCCTCATTTAAGCACTTAAAACTTAATTATAAGCAACTAATTTTTTGAAGTTTTTTTAGCTTTATTTCAGGAACCAAAAACTATGACTGTCTAATATGCCTACATTATATGTTTACATCAGATCTTTTTATCACACCAAGCAGAAAAAACTGATTTGGGGAAAAAAATGGTCGGAACATTCTGTGCTACTTGTAGAGTAACCGGCTATCCTTGTTTTCTTTCATTTTGTTTTCCACGCAAAATCAGCTCCCACAAAGAATAATCGGAGAGAACTGAGTGATACATCATTTTAAAACCCTTTCAGTCATGATTCAAACATTCAAAAATTTCGGAAACGTTTTCACTGAGTCGAGAAAAACCGTTTTAAAATGTATAATTTTTTGTCTAAGTTTGGAGAAGTAAAGCGACCGAGTACGCTTAATTAGGCCGTTTACAATAACTTATTTATGCCTAATTTTAATTTTATTCGAAAAAAATGGTTTTTGGACGATGTTAATGCCATTCTGGGAATCAAAAATTTTTCAAAATTCTGAGCAAAAAATTATTGAAAAAGAATTTTGTTCTAGTCAATTTTCTTCAAAAACTTATGTCATGCTTGCCTATATTACTATGACTGTCGAATATGCCTCAATTACAGTTTTTCGTCAGATTTTTCATCACACCACGCAGAAAAAACTACACTAATTTGAAAACAAAAAGAAAACTTTTTTTTTGTAGTTTTTTACAGAATATGGTCGGAACTTTCAGTGCTACCTGCACAGTAACCGGCTATGTTTGTTTCGTTTAGCTCTTAGTGCATGGTCTAGCTTTCCCTAAAAAACAATGAGTAAAACTTCAACTGAAAACAAACTTGTCGCTATAGAATAACTTGTACACTATCTTCCTCATCATCACTAAATTCAACGTCATCATTATCTAAGTTTGGAGGGGGAACAGTTTGATCTTTATTCAGTTCAATTTCATCATGATCTGCTTCATCCATCAAGGATGCAAATCCTTCTTTTTTGTTAGTGAAAACTTTTCCGGTTGAAGTCAAATTATTGCCAATTTTCCAATTTGAACTATTCTGAACCAAAGCTGCAACATTCTGCCTTTTACGGTGAACTTTATAGTCTTCTGAAGCGTCTCCTTTGCCTGAATTTTCATTAACTTTCGCATCATTTACGACATTATCTTTTGATTGTTTCTTTTTTGATTTAGTAACTTCACTATTTAATTGCTCCACATAAGCTTGTCCTTCGTTCAAAGGCGCAATTGGAACTTCGTGGTTGATTTTCATTTTCGATTCCAGTTGTTTCTGCAGACTTTGTGTCTTCTGCCATTCTGCGTTTTCCTTCAACTTCTCTTTGATTTTGACGATGAGGTTCTGACTGCATATAGTGCTGGCCTTGTGCACGTGGGATAGGAAGTCGTCTCTTGTAAGCATGAGGCCTCCACATGAGAGATGCAATGTGCAGACTTCTTTCTGATTGTTAACTGCCACTACCATCTTTCCTAAACACAATCATATGTAGCGCTGGCAAACAACTGTTTTTTAGCAAAAAAAAACGCTTAAAACTTTTCGTACAAAAAACGTTAAAATATTGGTTTTTAAAAAAAAAAACTGTTTTTTTCTAGGTTCCTGAATGAATAGAAAATATGTGCACAAAATCAACTCATGCGATTTCATGCGAAAAGCAAGTTACCAACTTTTCAGCTTCCACAATATTTCTCAAGTCTGAGAGGATGTATCAATAATAATTGACAGATCATCGCTCCTGAAAATATTCTAGAATGTTCCGCGGAATCAGCCGATTGTTATTTAATTTCAAAAAAGAACAGTAGAATCAAAACGCGTGAAAAGTGTTCAAAATAAAGTGTTAAACAGCACTTCTTTTTTTTCTGTCGACCCTGATATGAAAAAAAAATCTTGAATCAAAAGCATCTGAATTCGTTCATAACAGCGCTTGAAAGATTCGCTCGGTAATATTATAGATGTTTTTGGAAAAAACCAAACTCATAGACAAAAAAGCAGAAGCGGTGTCAGAGTCGTCATTTACAAAATAAACACAGAAGCGAAGCTGCACTTCGCAAACACTTGGGAGAACACGGCCAAAAAGCAGCTCAATTAAGTGATATAAGAAAGTAGAAATACGCCTCGAATCAGCAAAAGATCGGCTACGTGTAGGGTTCGAATCTGTGACCTAATGCAATCAAGAGATTTTGAGTCTCACGCACTATCCATTCAGCCACGCAAGCCTAACAACCGACAAACACTATTCACGAATAAAGCAGCTACATATGCTAATAAATTGCCAAACCATTCAGCAAAAGTGGCACCAAATACAAATAGACTGAATTTTGCAAGAAATAATATGGAAAAACAAACATCCACACTAACTTTGCATGTAACAAATCGCAAAGCATAAAGCCACACTATGTATAAATTATGCATTTAAAAAAATTGCGAGATATGTTCAGTTAGAAAATTTCCGAAATCGAGTTTTCATTATGGTGATGTTGTTTGAAAAATAGCTATTTTCGGTTCATTTGATGGATTAAGAATGCATAAACTGTGTTAATTTATTTCTATTCGAATGTAAAAGCACATGCTGTCAAAAAGCTGTAAGCGTGCCCTAAAAGTGGCACCAATATTTGCGACGTAGGTTGGAAAAAAAGAAGGTTCGAACTGATACACTATTTCGCAAGTGTAATTATTACAACCAAGCCCACATCAATCAATCAATCATTCCGGTTACTCCAAAACTAACCTTCCAAATTCATCTCTTCGAGTCTCGTGGGATCCACTATGTACTGTTTTCCCTGATCATAAAAACAGAGGGTAACACAAACTGGGATATGCTGTATATTCAGAGAAACAAGAGCCTTCTCTTTACTGCTATGGAACTTCATCCTGCCGTGGAAACTTCCTTGTTGTTCGTTTGTGTCTTCGAGTGCCTGGATCTCCTCCGAGGCATAGACTGTGACGTCTGGCCTCTTGAAGTGAGAGAGAGCTGCAATGGCTGATATGCAACATGCGTCTATGAGATTTCCTAGGAAGAACACGAATCAATTTTCTTAAATTACCGAAATCCAATTTACCAAAAAGTGAGCCGACACAAACTCAAAGATCACGCAACAAAAATCAAAGTATTTTGTTGGTATCATTTGAGAAAAAAATAAATAATGCTATAAAGAGTCATTGTTTCATTTCCATCGAAGTGGATTAGACTTGTGGATAGATGCTAGTTACACTTCACACCGTTACGGAAAGTGAGCTTTGTTAACTTGCCTGGAAAACTTTGTTCACTTTGGCAATTGGTAAAATACTTGATTGAAGAAACTGACCTTCGTGATTAAGTACCCGGATGTCCAGTCTGATCTCCCAGACCACTTCTCCACTGATGATGCATAGGGACTCCATGTCCAGACAATGCGAGTCCACCAGACACCTCTCGATGATCCGATTAGCTTCTATCGACAGCTCATTTGTGCGCTCTGCCTGACGAATAAAGACATCTTTCGATTACAGGCGACGACTTCAAACTAAATTACTATCACACACCGAGAACTACTCGTTTTTTTAAGGGCGCATCAGCTTCAGCTATTTGACCATTGAATCCTGGATCTATGAAACAAGGATTAATCTGGGAATCATCGGCCAAAATCCGTAGAAATAATACCCACGATTTCCAGATCCAAAAGCGTGTTAGGGCCTTGCATTGGCTAGATAAAGATGACCATATCTAACTACGTCTGTTCCCAGCTCCTTTAAAAAATTATATAAAACTATTCTTTAGCCCATCAGATTTTTATTACACAGAGGCAAAGCGGAGCTTCGCTTAATTTGCGATACCAGAAAAATAGCATTACAAGTTAGCAGACAGGAAAGCAAAGGAGAGCCACTAAGTCCAAAAAAAAAACGGAAAAAATTTCGAAGAAACCACCAGTGACGTCCAATATAACCAAATATTTAACAATTGGTTTAACCAATTGGTTAAAAAAGGGTTTGTTAAACTGATTTAACTAATAGCCAAGTGTATTCTGAATCTAAGTTAGGCCAAGGAATCATTTTTTTCCACGCCACACCAAACCTTTACTCAGTCATGCTCCATCGATTGATAATTAGCAATTTTGGCGATTTACTTGATAGCGTCCGATTAAATTTGCGGGCCGACTACTTTCAAAACTTGCATCATTTACTATAGGTTTGAGGGTATTTATGTTTTATCACTAATTAAAAACAAATTGGTTTAAACCAATTCGGTTTTAAAAAATTTCATTTGTTAATGGTTAAAACATTGGTTGAACTTTTTAAACTGGACATCACAGGAAGCCACAATTTGAAAAACTTCAAAATATTGTCCGATGTTCCATTTGCGGAAAATATGTCCAGAAACACATTCGACGGCGTTTAATGAAACTTCAAAAACAATTATCAAGCGAAAATAAAAATTACTGTCATGAAAAACTTTAACTATTAAATCTATTCTGAGAAATCTATTCAGCTTTGTGCGATATGGAGGAAAGCATACAAACTATGGTTACCTCGAACGATCCAAAATTAGGGTTAGTAAGCCGATAAAATATAAGCCGTATATAAATATAAGCTATTACCACTATGCTTAGTGGGTCACTATTTTAAAAAGTCAAATACCACAAACCTCGAAAGATGTCGAAGCCATTGGCGAGAATTCCAAATTGACAAACAAGAGCCCCTCATGTGGTCTAGTAGGCCTAGGTCGCGCGATGTCACATGACACTTGAGAAAACACTTTGGTATCTCCCAAATCAACAACACAACCTCCAAGCTGATCTGTGAACGTCAATTCTAAATTTCTAAACTCTAACTGCTTTCGGCCATCTAATCTTTTCTTGTTGAGTAATAACTCATGCACACAAAGTCGTTCCGAATTACTGACAATAGGTTCCCTCGCTTGCATGCTTAGAAGCGCCAAATGATTCAAATATTTCCGTTTTCACTTTTCTGGTCAGTTATTTAAATTAATCAAACTATGAAGAAGTTTTTATCTCGTTTTTCTTTTTTTAACAAGAAATAGTTCGTTCTTGTTTCTTCAGGTCAAGCCAGCATCATCAGGACATGCCGTGAATCCAGAGTCAAAGGACAAACTCCAAGAACAAGTAATCAATCTGAAACAGAGAAACAGTGAGTTGAGTGACGAGAACAACAAGCTCAAGAGGAAACTCGACACCAAAGTTGAGGTGCTTGATGAAATCAACGAAAAAATATCGTCCATAGCATCTTCATTGTCATTAAGGTATTCAATTTTTCCTTATTATACACTCATTTCCCGCATTTTTCCACATTCTGGAAAACAAAAACTTATCGCGAATCGTAATCAGTCTTGTAAATCAAGATGAAAAGATGCCGATTTGAATCAAAGTAACAGAAAGTTCTAGTTGATAAACAAAGAAAGAGATTGCTGATAAATTCACGTATAATTTGTAGAAGACCACGCGTCCAACGCAAACACCAGCGAAACCAGGCCAACTTTCCCACCCACACTCCAACCTCAACTCCAGTGATCGATTCCAGAAACCTTTCCCCAGTTAACATGAGAGGACATCTAGGTGTGATTGGATGTGATACAAGCTGGCCTACTCTAGGGACCAACCGTACTCTGACAGAGGACACTGGTTTCAGCTCAGAGTACTCTTCTACGCCACAATTAAACATGGCACACGACCAACTTAGTGTTCAGAATCTGAGGAGCTACTTGCATACCATCAAGGTCGGAATGTTTCTTTGAAAATACAGGCTACCAACAAATGTGGTTTAATTAGAACAAAGCAGCAGCTAATATGACAATTAAATCGGCAATATATTTTCAAACCTGCACCGTAAAAGTAAAATGAGGTTTACTGACTCGATAATTTCAGGCTTACTTGGAAGACGTAGGATGCAACAGTAGCGCCTCAATCGGAGAAAGATCTCCAGAACGCATTTCGAGTCCAAACAGGTCAAGTTCAATAAACTCTAGTGATGCCTTCTCCAGATCTGAAACGCCCAGCGGAAACGTAGCAGCAGCTCTAGCGAGAAAGGAACACGAGATACAAAACCTTAAGAAGCAGTTAGACGAAAGGGACGAATACATTTCCCAGAGAAGATTTCAAAGACAACCTTCAACTGACAGGTATAGCATGGATGAGACTTAGTCTTAAATCTTTTCTCAAGAGATCAAATAAAATTCTAGGACTCTTCAATAACAAAAATTTTTCAAGCGTAAAAAAAGAATCAACTACAGAGCGTTTTGGATAAACTTTCCCACAAAAAAAAAACAAATTTATTTTTCAAGTATTTGAGCCGAGATACAGAAAGTTTGACCCAAGGTAGGAAATAGATGGAAATTTGATTTAAGATGATGCAAAAATTTTTCAGTCTGCCGAATGAAACTTAAAATGACGGGATTTTCATACATTCTTTGATCACCAATTGAGCACATTAATGCATGAAAATATAAAATTGAGTCCTTGAGATCAAAAATTTGTTATACAGATTAACAAACGGGTGATCACTAAAATGGCAAAGGCGGAAAAAAAATCTACTGCACCATTTAGTAAGGTATTAGAAAGCGTATTTTCCTTTACTTTATGGAATTTTAAAACAAATTATTTGGGAAAGAACGGTTGAATTAGGATTTCAAAGTTTCAAAACTGCAGTGCTAGAAGATAAAAACAACTGCATACCGAAAATATATCTGACATCTGGTTGAGTTCGCATTGGTGCTGATAAATGATCAATGCATGTAGTAGTAGTAGAACAGGATTTAGGGTTGTTATCCCATGGGCACCCAAAATGTAGTTTTAGTGTTAACGAGTTCTGAGTTTTCCATTTGGGTTACAGTTTCCACATGGACACATTATTCGCCATGTACAGCTGTCCATTTCTGAGTATCTTTCGAAGAATTTCCAATAAATTTCCGCTATGTCCGATTTCTGTATGTCAGTTAACTGTTTTGAGGTATGTCGAATTATGACATTGAAAAGTGCTGGGCATCTAATGAAGAAGTCTGAGTTGGTTTTCTTAAGGCGAGTTTTCGGTATTTGATATTCGTTTCTTTCATTTTGTCTCGTTGAGCTTTTGCTGTTTTCGGCATATTGGTTAATGTCAATTTCGTAGTTATTGCGAACTATAGAAATGAACAGAAGGAGGTCGTGCATTTCAATGTACAGAGACAGCGGTAGCATTCTTAATTTTTGTAGTCTACACTTATATGGGATATGTGAGTTAAGCATCCATTTGGTCGCCGTTCGCTGAACCTTTTCAATTGCCCGGAGGTTTGATTTCGAGTAGTGCGTTACTGACGCGCCATAAACTACAATTGGGACTACATATCCCGTGTAGGCATTTAGCTTAGAAGTTATAGGACAGTTTTTAGAGAGGTTACGCTTTAGTGAGTAAAAAGCCGATAGCGACTTCTGACAACGCTTAGACGCATTTACATTCCATGAGAGAGTGGGTGTTACTAAAATTCCTAGATCCTTTTGTTCAGTTTCGATTTTTAGGATATTTCTATTAATTTTACCTTCCAGCTCGTTTTTGAAATTAACGAGAGTACATTTTCCGGTATTTAGACGCATTTGGTTTTTACTACTCCAATTTTCAATTGTAGTAGTGGCATAGTTCATTTCTGTTTGAATTGTTGCTATAACCTTAAAGTCATCAGCATATCCAAAAGAGTCAACTAGATTCAAGTTATCTGGTAAGTCGTTTATATATAGTATGCAAAGTAATGGTCCCAATAGAGAACCTTGAGGGACACCACTTATTACGTAACATATCTTAGACTTTGCTTTGTTTATTCGCACATACTGTTTTCGAAGAAATAAGTAAGAGGCTATTAGTTGAATTGCTTTTCCTCCAAAACCATAACACTTCAATTTATGCATTAAAAGTTGATGCGGACTGCAGTCAAAAGCTTTTTCAAAATCTAGATAGAGCGCTGTTATATTTTTGGTCGTTTGGTCATCATAATTTAGGTATACTTGATGTAAGTAAGCAAGGAGTTGGGTAATTGCTGAACGTTTTTTACGAAAACCATATTGAGAGTTATGAAGATGATGTCGCACTCTTTCATAAATGTAGTCAAATAAAACCTTTTCGAAAATTTTTGAGATGCAGCATAGTAAACTTATCGGTCTGTATCTTTTAATATCGCATTTGTTCCCATCTTTGAAGATTGGGACAACTTCACTTAATTTCCACGTTTCTGGGAATATACCTTTATTCAAAAAAGTTTGAAAAATTAGGAGGAGTGATTTGGATACTGTTTTCGCTAAGTTTGCGTAGACAAGATTTCCCAAATTATCTGGACCTGTTGCTTTATTGATGTCTAGTTCGAGCATTATTTTCTCAATGCAGTCTTTATTCAGCTCGATGTGGTTGTATTTTGCTTTTTCAAAGATACTTAATTCGGTTATTTGTTCCGCTTTCGTAAATACACTACAGAAGAATTGATTAAACGCATCGCATTTTTCTTTGTCTGTCTCAAGTTCTTTGCCGTCAAGTTTCATTATCGAAGGTAGTCTAGGTGCTCTTCTTATGAAAAGAAATATGAATGCCCCAAAACATTAAAAACTTTTCCGCTCTTCAAATGTAACGCAATTAAGGCACCAAGACAAACTTCAGTCGCTAATTTTCAACCCGGGGATAAGCAAAGCTTCGCACAACTGGCGATACATAGCATGGCAAAGAAGTAGACATAAAATGAAGAAAAAAATAGATATTTCAAAATTTTCCTACTATAATTTGCCTCGAATAAAATTGATTTAGAGGAAAGCATATCGACAAAGACAATTTCCAGCGTAAATTTAGCATGGAAAAAATTTACCAAGCGTAGACTAAGCCGACAATGAAAAAATAGTTTAAAAAACATCTTTAAAAGTTGACAAAAGCCGAAACCTATTTAGTCCAATATATCAATTAATTGAAGAAAGAAAAACGGCAAAAATAAAATTATACAATCGGAATTGGCATATCTTGAACCGAATTTCGAGTAGAGTGGATATTTGAACTTCACACATGCTTGATTTATGCCTGTTCACGAGCAGTCTGTTCTGCCGAGGAGATGAATCCTATGAGCAAAGTTATTTATGGAAAAAATCTAGAGCTCGGTTGTAGCACACTTACTATCGACTGTGAAATATTATTATAATTTTTAAGTAAGCACTTTCCAAATTATTGCTCAAGATGCAAAAATCCTTAACAACATTTTTCAACAAAGCAAAAACTTCCTTATTGTTTTCTGATCATTTAAAAAGGGGAGGAACTTTGTATTCGGGTGTGTTTTAGTTTTTTCTTTTCCCAGCAAAATCAGGTAGCACAAATAATATGGTTCGAGTGATATATCATATTAAAGCCCTTCAGACGCTATTCGAATGGCTTTTAAAAAATTGTCCCAGTATCGAGAAAGACAGGTTTAAAATTTTTGACTTTTAGTCAAAATTCGAGCAAATAATGGGAGCGAGCTGGCTTACAATAGCATATTTTTGCTTAATATAGCAGCGAAAACTTAGTTTTACTCCAGTAAAGTTGTTTATGGAGTTTTTTCTATGCCATTTGGAAATAATAATAAAAAAAACTAAATTACACAAGGGGCCCTTCCGTTTAGTTACGGTAAGTGCACAAGCTGGATAGGGCCATACCAGCGATATAAAAATGCATATAAATCAGCAATGAAGTCATAAATCAGCATTAAATGCATCGTCGTAATGTTAATTTATCTTAGCCGTCCTTCCTCTACAATAGCGCTTATGGAGTTGTCGCCATTTGGAAATTAAAAACTTTCAAAATTCAAAAAACTTTTTGATTTCTTAAAATATTTTTTTGTTTTCTTAATTATCTTTCAACAATGTTTTCCAATTTTACGATGTCTGTCGACTATTCCTAAGTTCCAGGTTTTTGTTCAGATATTTTTATCACAGCACGCAGAAAAAACGACACTAGTTTCTTTTAGACTATGGTCAGAACAGTAACTACTAGTTGCACACTAACCGGCTATCCTTGTTTTTTACATAGTTTCTCTCGGAAAGCGAATAACAGCTAGAAGAGCTTGAAGATGGTACCTCTCAGAACAACGGAATTTTTTGGAGTAGTCAAAACAAAGATAAAACAAACGATTCTTTAATTCCTCTTTGAGTACTTGGAACAATAATGTAATCATTTATGACATGTTCTAGGGCATCCATGCAAAAGATTCTGGATGAAAATTCTTTTCTCAAGACCAAACTCGATGAGCTTAATAGTGTTGGGCTTGAAAGCGAAGCAAAAGCACAACAACTAGCGAAACATCTAGAAGAAAAATATCAGAGCGACATGACAGCCCTGGGCGAGCTTCAGACAAAAGTAGTGTCAGTGGCTAACCTAAAACAGAAAGAAATAGTAGAGTTGGAACAATCGCTTCAAAAAGTAAGCAGCCATTTTTTTTGAAATCACAAACCTCTGATTCGTTCAGAACATAAAAGTTTGTACAAAAAAAGTTTTCAGACCTGCTGTAGAAATAAGGCACCACCAAGCCGTAAATACTTCAAAAAATACAAAGAGGCAAAAAAGCAATATCTAGTTATTGACTTTTACGCTTCAGGTATTACATGAAAACAACTTCTTAAAGGACGAACTGCGGCGAATGCATCAAAAACTGCTGACCAAACGAACACAATCTACTTCTCTTCTACATCAAGGAGATCAACCAGACCTCGATAATAACCCAGTAGCTTTCATAACTCAGTTGAGAAATTTGTACAATAAATCACCTTGAAGTACCATTTTTATAATGCATTTTCTACACAGGCGAATCAACTTCATTTTGAGGGAAACAATGTCAAGAAAGATAATTGATGCATCGAGTTTTGTCGAGGTGATGGTTTTTTTTTATTATTTTATTTTTATGGTAATCAGAAGGTCAAAAGTATCATAGTAACCGAGGTTACAGTCATGAGTCCCTTCATCATGTATTCCAGTCAAAATCCTTGGAATTTTTTAGATATGGAATTGATAATGATTAAAGAAGATAACAAGCGTTTAAGTCCTTTTCAATTAAAATCGATACGGGTTACGTTTCTTCAATAAGAACACGCAACTCGACACGAGATAATATAATATACAAGTGTTACAAGTAAAAAAATTTCGTCGAAAGTTATTTTGTCATTCATTGTTCCGAGTACGCAAGCGGCGTTCGCAATCTGTATTGCCAGGGAGATTCTCTGTTTTAAAAAGCTGCCTGCTCTGGGTTCCTCAGTGCATATGCTTAGGTTCTTACAAAGCTTGCTCAAAAAAAACTTGTGCTGGGGCCGGCCGCGCCCTGAATTTCAAAAGCTAGCGGTCGAAAAAGATCTATATACTTGTCAATTTTTCGCTCTTCCGCTTCAGCGGCAGCCGCACCAGTGTAACATTCGCCCAAATATCACACAGCGACGGAGCGTAGAAAAAGTACCTATTAACGACTGGCAGGCGTCAGTTACCTTAATTCTACACGTTTTTCACCGTCTCGACCTTGCCAGTTGATTTTCTGGTCTGTCTAGGGCAAAGTAAAAAGTTACCATTTTTAGGCCATCAGTCAAACGACTTTTGATCAGCTTTCGTTTACATGCGAACACAACCACATAGCTGAGTCTCGGATCCTCAGACTACGTGATTGTCATTAAAAACACGGCTCGAACAACCTATTTTAATATGTTTTTGTGTGACCGTTTTATATTAAATCCATTGGAGATGGATTGACCCTTTCCCTTTTTCTAGCTACTCATGCTCTGAAATATTAAATAATAACGGTGTTAATTAAGATCTATGACATTATAGCAGCTATATAGTCAGTCTATACAGTCCCTTCACATAGACAGTCTCTGGGGGACCAAGCCTCCGCTCCCGTAATATTCTTGAGATAACACTCTTATCTCTTATAATTCGTGTCCCGGGAGGGTTCCGTGGTATATTTCTTCCCCCACTGAAGCCTCCTTCTCCACAAAAATCCGTCGCTAAGGTTCTTATCGTGTGTTATTGCCACGATAAGAGGCTTCGTAATTTTCTTGCTCGACTGTTCTTCACAATCTCTATCGTGGTTCTGTTTTTCGTCTTTTTCTTCAAAATGGCCGTCTTTTCTCTATTTCTCAGAAATGTTCTTCTTCCAATCGAAATTTTAAAAATAAAAATTCTAGAACATTCTGACCCCCCGTCGCAACACTTTTTTGTTCATAAGGCCTTTTGTCACTCTTTTTTATGTCGCCGGAAGGTTGTGCTGTGTCATCTGGCAGAATGGCACATACTCCCCGGACAAGTCTCCATCAATGTCCCTATTGATCGCATAACACCGGGTTATCGTCAAGTAGTTATCCAGTTTTCTGTAATCAATCTTACAAATCGCATAAGAAATTGAAATTTATCTACCCCCACCTCAACTCACTACGTGTTCACAAATGGCATCGTACTACATCTCACTGCCTTTCAACATTTTAACAAAATTTGCACCATGAGGAGTGTCCTAGATGAAATTTCTTTTCTGACTACTTACGTCATCTCGCCATAAAACTTCTTTTCGCCTCTGATTAAAAAGTGGGACGTGGCACGGCCACGCACCCGTTAAAATTAACTTAACATTACTCACCAAGTATAATCAGTCATCTATGCGGTCCTTTTAATATTAAAACTAAGAAGCTCTGTGGCTAGGAAAGTTTTTGAGTTACCCACCCTTCTCGAGCGAGTTTACTCAAACTTACCATGTCGCCACAGAGTGAATTTGTGTCTTACACAGGTTAAAAACTTCAGTCGTGAATAAATAGGTAAATATACTCACCTATGTTCCTTATATACATACATAGATAGTAGTAACTAAAATCAATAATTTCAACAATTTTAACAATTGCAACATTTTCAAAGTTTGGTCTGACCAAACTAGATCAAAACAAAAAGTTTCACAAGTTCAATAATCAAAACTTGGTTGATTGGTTTAAGTTTTAGCACACAAATACAATCAAGTTTTTTCTCCTTCTCTTCTCTTCTTTGGTCATCTTCATTCCATCATTTCTCCATGCTGATGTTCAGCGTCACTGTCTTCCAGGACTTTCTCTAACATGTCCAGAGAGTTGCGGGCCGTGCCCCAACCCTCCTGTTCCAGCAGCCTCGGTTTGCAGCAAGGTAGCAAGTCCACATTCACCTTCTGCTCCCGGTTCCTGCAAAAGCTGTTGTGAAGACATAGGCTCACGTTTCGTTCTAGGTCAGCTCTTAAGACCTCTTTCTTCTCATCTTCAGTAACACAAGGCGCTCCAGCTACCCGCTTCACCGCTGTGGTGACCGCGTTTCTGTGCGTCAGGAATGCTCGTTTATAGGCTCCTGGTCCTATATCTAGCTGGAAAGATTGATAGGCTACCGTGTTCCTTGACATGTGACGCTTCGCGCGTTCATACATGCAAGATGTCATCACTGCACGGAACCAAGGCATCAATCGTTGCCTTGACCATATTCTTTCAATGGCTTTAGGTATCCTCAGAACCTTGCAGGTGGTTCTGAAAAGATCCAATTCACGACTCATTTTAACGTTGCTCAACTGTTCAGGAGTCGGCACGGCCGTCTCCTGCTCACTTGTGTCCGCGTTAGCCTCCAACCATCTCACTGCTAGCATGGCGCTAACCACCACGATTGACACTTGTTGATTCTGATCGGGCAACCCCGTGGAGTACAACTCCTCCACGTCCCATACTAGGATCAGATTCCCGCGTTTGGGATACCACAACGTCTGCGCCAAGCAGTGGCAAGGATAATCCCCATGGGTTCTCACTATGTTCCTTCGGGTCCGATACCCTGAGGCTCCCAGCAACGGTTCCACTTCCATCAGAATTCTGTGTAAGTCGTCTTTTTCTTCTATTGTGGGGAATTCAGTGGGTAAGGCTCCACTCGCTTTCTGTTTCTCGAACTCACTCACATTGCCTTCGTTCAGTCTCATGAACTCTTCACCCACAACGTCTTGCAACTCGCCTTCAGATCTTTTCGAGACTGCCCGAAAGATCTTTGCCAACAAGTCATATGACCTTTCTGACATTCTGGCCGACCTCACGCACTTTGGCACAGAGAAAAGTTGGTCAACCAACACTTGTTGCGTCCTCGCATCCATCACCACCATGTGCGTAGGATACTTGCTATTACAGTATGGCGCGGAGCTTGAACCCACCATATATCTTGAACCAGTAGGTCTGTGATAGGCTTCACTATCCTTCAGATTCATTTCATTTTCTAGAGCTTCTCGCCAGCCTCCAATCTTCTGCTCTGTTTGTAATGCTCCAGGGAATATTTCCACGCTGAGGGACGTCACTAGCTCATGGGCACGCTCCAGGCGCTCGAGTGATTCTATCGAACTCGTCATGCTACAAAATCCCAAGGCTGTGATCAGGTTTACGTCCGTCACCCCATGGCAGTCTGCAACCAACTCCATGGCACTCTTATCTGACATGCTCAATCTTCCGTACAATCGTGCCAGTTGTCGATGCTGCTCGCTCAGCGTAATCAGGCAGTGTCCCAAGTTGCAAACATGCCGTTCCATACTACTTTGTTGAGCCAAGCATGTGCCTTGCTTCAACCAATCGCTCGATGGATCGATGCGCATAGCTCCTGCGCTGTTATCCTGGGGCGGGTGTCGTTGGATCCCTCCGAGGATCTCATGCTCGCCAGGACTTCCGGTGACACCTGGCTCACCTTCGCCATATACAACTCCTTCAGGTGCTTTATCTCATCCTCCTTGTAGGCCACCTGCAGATCTTCAAATTTCTTTTTCCATTCGTCTCTCTCTCGAGCTATCGCCCTGTACTCCTGAAGTTTGGCACACAGCTCGCTCTGATCTCTCTCCCTCTTCTCCAGTGTCTCAATTGTCTCCGACGTCTGGATCTCTATCTCGGTTACTCTCACTCTCTTCGGGAGAGGAGCAGCTGTTGGAGAGTCGACCGAGTGTGACGGGCCTGGCCCATCACGTTGTCTCTTCGCTTCGATGAGTGGCTGCGCAGGTTGGACGGGTAAGGGCATCTCACCTAGCCGGTGGTCCCTTTGCTCACCTAGTCCTGGCTCACGAGCCAGGTCGTGGCCAGACATTTCTCCACGCCTCCATCTCATCAATCGGTTTCGGCCTCTCTCGGCGGTCCCGGACTCACCGAAGGCCAACATCAACACGACTTCTGTAGGGCGATTCCCTCGACCCTCTCGTCCTAGTGCATTGAGGAGTGCGACCACAAACATCGCCAACCCCGGGTCTTCTCGTGTGAAATCACAATCGATCAGCCGCTGATAGATCTCGTCTAGAGTCGCTCCTAGACTCGCTGAGAGAAATTCCATGAGTTCGTTCGTGTCACCCATTTCTTATCGTCTTGATTCTTGTTGTCCTGTCGTGTAATTCCTTTCTGTCTCGTCTGATTCAGTGTTCAGTAAACAATTTTCGATCAATCAAGATCTAAAAAACAAGTCGCGACTTAGAATCATCATTTTTGGATACAACATCAATCAATTCTTTAAAACTCTCCATTGAATTTCTTTTCACAATTCTGATTTAAAATTTAGCACCAGGGTGGATCGTCCACCTTTACTTTTGTCAGAGTAGCACGAATGTGCGCTGTCACCTTGATGACCTGAAGTACTCCAGGTCCTTTATGACATAAAACATAAAACGTAATCATAACAATAACATAACATAAACACATAAACATCACACACCTACACTATCACAAAGAAACATAGTCCCTAATACTGTACCTAAAACCTAACCTAACCTAAAACTTGACTCTAATTTCTATCGAATAACTTAATAAAAACCACTTATCGCCGAGCGCAATTCTTAGCATATACTCAGATAGTATT